ACCAAAGGATGCCTTGGAATGCAAAACAAAACAAAAAAAGCGAAAAAACACGCATTTGTCCACTAAACAAGTGCAAAAAAAGGCACAACAAATGCAACAAAAATGCACCAAAAAGGCACAACAAATGCGACAAAAATGCACAAACAATACAAAACAAATGCAATCAAAAAGCAAAGCAAATGCGATCAAACACGTTCTGGTCTTTGCCTTTGCATTTTTTTGCTTTGTATTTGCGTTTTGTTTGCGATTTATTTGCATTTTTTGGTGCGTTTCCTTGAGACAACGCAAAAAATCGAAAAGAAAGCAAACAAGAACGCAAACAAGTGCAACACCATTGCAAAAAAGCACATAAAACGCACAAACATCGAACACACATCGCACAAAAAAGGTGGTGAAATTTGGTTGTGCATGTGCATTTTTTGTGCTTTTTGTTCGCTTTTGTTTTGCGTTTTTTTAGAGAGTACGACGCCCTGGAGGTGTCTGTTTTTTCAGTGTTTTTTTTTTTTTTTCGTTTTTCTACGATGTTCAATAGATTTTCTATGTTTTCGTTGCATTCACCCATCTGGTACACATCACTTGTGCCCATAGCCTGCTGCCCCTTTGTCATGATCTTATCAATAGATTTCCTCATCAAGCTTTTAAACACATAGCTAAAGTCTGTATCTGTCAATTGCATCATAGCTGTCATCTTTGGAGGAATGATAGACTGTAGCTGATGGGCTGCATACATCATCTTGTATGTATCATCGCTAAATGAAGCAGCAAAGCAATCCCTCTGATAGATGGATACTGGATACATCCTCCCTTGCTTTGCAATGACCCATGACTCCATGACATAATGATATTGTCCTGATTGGAGGATGGTTGGGAATAAACATCATAGTGCTCCAACAAATGAGGATGACCCCTTCTGATCTTGACCCATTGCTCCAATGCCCTCCTGGCACTCTCTCCCTTCCTATGCAGCTTGATGTCTCCCAAATAGTTGAATGATTCATCCTCAATCCACCTGCCTTTGTCATCAATGTTGTCCAATCTTGCATGTTGCCCAGGTACTATGAGCTCCCCCTTGCCCACATGTCCAATGGGGTCCTCGGGGTCCTCATCAGGGTTGAAGAAATTGCTCACCAGCTGATGGGCCTCAAAGGTAATCCTCATCTTCTCAGTTGCTGAGTCCGTCTTGATAGTCAAATGAGCTCTTCCCCTACCCTTTTGATCCTCAGTGGTCACCAATTGCCAATCTTGCTTCTTCTGATCATCCAATGCCTCAAGGTCCTCATTGGGTTCCTGTCTCATGGGCTTGTTGGTTCAGCTCATATTGAAGGTCCCTCCTAATCTTTTTGATGGTCTCATGGCCTGCAAACACAGCCTTAGTTGATCCCTTTTTCACCCATACAGGAACCTGATCTGAGAAGCCAAGCATACATTCAGGCTTTGCCACAAATTCCTTCAGATCTTCATGCCCCATGGACACAAGGCTCATGATATAGTCATGGTGGTTCCATGCCAATTCTGCTGAAATCTGCTGCTCCTCATTGCTCAAGGGCGCCAACACATTTAGAGTCATATGTTTGGCACCAATAGCATCCATAAGCATCTTGGCCCTCTTTTCCCTTTGCTTATACCCCTCTTTGATGCTCTTCATTTGGGATTCAGCCCTTTCCAATTGATTGATACAAAGAATCTTCTGGGGCCCATCTTCCAGCTCATCCCTTTTCTCCTCAAGCTTGACTTTCTCCACTGATAGCAGCTGAAAATATTTACATGCAAGATCCATCTTCTGCACCCCATGCCCATAACTCCTTTCCCTTTCCAACCATGTCTTAACCTCACCAACCAAGTGGGGGAATTGTTGCTTGGCACCCCCACCTGATGCCCTGACTCTCATGTGGTTCCCACCTGATGCTTTCTTCCCTTTGCTCAATCCACTCCTTTGCGTTCTCTCATCTGCTGTTGTGCTTTGCTGATGCTTCAGAATCTCTGTCTCCCATTTGGACCTTTCAGCGTAAATCCCCTTCAACACATGAGGTCTCATCAGGATTGTCCTATTCCATTTCCTTGCGCATTTTCATTTCTGATTCTTCAGTATGCTCTCCGTTTCCCGGGGAAGGGGGTCGGCCAAACAAAGAAAAATAGGTGCTGCCTCAAATGAAGGCCACCAATCTTTTTTTGGTCGACCCCCCCCCTCTGGGAAACTCTGTGCGGTCCATGTTCGCGACGCTGGCGACATCGTGATATCTATTCCATTTCCTTGCGCATTTTCCTTTCTGATTCTTCAGTATGCTCTCCGTTTCCCGGGGGGGGGGGG